AATCAAATGTGCAGAAGCCAGTACTTATCCCTTGTTTTGTCTATATGAAGGCCAAGCTACATGGCACCGTGGAAGCTGCTGATTGAGCGTCTCCATGCCTCCGCTCTGTATAATACACTTGCATTCTATTGTTTCTGTGATCGTGTGCTTTGTCGTGCTGTCTCTACCATCGCAATAAAAACATGTCTTCTGTCTGAATTAAAAGACGCGATCCCAGACTATGGCATTTTTCTTCAGGTGTGAAGGAATGCGGGCCTTGGTCTGTAACATCTAGAGAACAGAAGACTACTTTTTTTTTACACAAAGTGTTTTTTTTTTAAGCCCAAACTGAGAAACCTCAAGATGAGAATGCATTTTCAGGACCAGCACACTTGGACAATCTGCACAGCCCCTGATTCCAGTCAGGCTGTGAGGTGCTGAGACATGGCCATACCATCGTCCTCTTTTGCATGGACATGATTTGGGAAAAATTGGATTACACAATTTGGACATAATTTGGACTTGAATTGGATTGCTGAATCTGGACACTGAAGCTGAAACGATGTGATTGAAAGACACGTCACAGAAGAATTAATGGCTTGACACGACAAATGCAGCCTGAAGAACTCAACGGAGACGTGGGAGGACTGTTTTCAAAGCCAATATTCTGGAATCATCGGACGATGAAGTTTGGTATTTTACTGAAGATTGTTGACAAAGTTTTTATGAAAGATCTGAACATGGTTTTATGAGTTTGAGTTTTCTATGAAGTATTCCGAGCAGTAGAGGCATCAACGGTTCATCACTGATCCGTGATCCGTTCGGTTCAACGTCTTCGGTTCGGTACAGGACGTGAATCCCGCGTTTGATTTATGAAAAAAAAGTTGTTGCGCACGTTTGTTCAGTCCACACACAGCGCGTCATTGCGAGCGGAGTGAGCGGAGGAGCTTGAAAGCCCCGCGTCATTTAAATCCCCAGTTATGAGAGCTTTTGGCTTCACTGTAACTACACTGATAATGAATTATTCGACAAAATGTCACGATGTGTAAGCCACTTGTGCACAAGAAAGACATGAGTGAAAAAAGCGGTATCAAACGACCGCTTATTGTCGCGGCATTTAAGCAGCTCCTTTACGCCACAGTCAGAACCGGGCTAGAGTCAACTCTCCCGCGCATCCTCAGCTGCGCTCACGACTGACGCTTGGACGTCCCGCGGAATCTATAATACGATCCATGAGCGGAACCGCTCACTTCATCACCGCAGACTGGGAGATGAGAAGTCTGGCGCTGCAGGACACGCCCCCTCTACGACAGTCACACTGTCACACAGCGCAGGTACTGACACAAGCAGCGGAGGAATGGAAGGACAAAGGCCCCAGTACTAATATCCCAGTCCCAACTGATACATGCCCCAAAAAATTAAATAAATGCAGTGAATGAGGCTGGGCCAGAAATGCGACCCCCCTCCTTGGGGAGAATCAGGAAGGTGGTTTCATATATGAGGGTAAATATCTCATAACGTGCCTTCTTATGTGTTGCACTTTGTGTTGTTTTTCATTAATTATGTTAATAGAAATAATTGGATGGATGGAATATTCCATCCCATCCATCCACATGGGAGTTTCTAGGTCAGGGGGTGGCAGTCAGTGCAGGTGTGCCGAGTCCACATGAGCTGTGTTTTATTTAAAAAGACAACACTTTTATTTTTGAAAATAAATGATGGGAATAACGGCGTTACTAGTAACGCCGTTACTAACGCCGTTACTTTTTTCAGTAACGAGTAATCTAACTAATTACTTTGAGTGTAACTATAACGCCGTTATCATTTCCGACATCCCGTTACTGCGCGTTACTAAAGACGCACAATGAACTTATCTTTTTACTTCATGATAGGACTCGTGCGCGTGTTGTCATGAGAGAAGGGAGGATGAGAAAACCTCTCAGCAATTATTGGCTGATGTAAAAAAACATATTTCCTTTACAATCCACATGTCTACAGTTGAGAGGATGGTCATAAATTGTGTTTTTGAAATAAATATGGGTCTTAGTCGCGCTCAACCACAGCTTCTATCACCGTGAGGGCTCAGAGGAGCGCATGTGAGCGCAGAAGTCGGCTGCATACAATTCCATCTGAAAGCTCCTTTCTCTTACTGGTTTATCTGCTAAGGGCTGCAACAAGTTTGGCTAACATACATATAACACATTTTAAGATAATTTAAAATGCACTTACGGTAATTTTTCAATGACTATAGGAATGATAAGAAAGAGAGGTGAAGTGTAAGACGGTTGATTTTAGAAATTGGATGCACCCGGCTGCACCTAGCAAAACAGAGTAGTTTACGGAGGACACACGCGTTTTGTTTTACTTTTTAAAACTCATTTCCAAATGGAGGATTACATATCTACGCTCAAACTATTATCTGGACTTAAACACAGAACTGGTCTGAACTGAAGTGGTCTGTGCAGGTCATTTATAAGGTAAGACCCATAACTCATAGTTTTGCGTTTTGTATGAACAAACAATGCGGCCATGAAACATATTTTGCTGTAGCCAAACAAATTGTCCACTTGATTTATATGATAAATATGTTCATCTGATTGGGCTGAAGTCAGTGCTTCACCGGTGTTTCCACATTCACAGTGGCGGGTGTTTATGTTTAGTGCTTACAGCACAGAGAGAGATGAAGAGTGAACAGGACTTCAGCAGCAAAACAGCCTTTTCTAGATGGAAATATTGGCACTATTTCAGACTCACTGAGGTTAAAGGTAAAAATGCGCACGTCGAGTGCACATTATGTTCCAGAACAAAACGAAAAAGTAACGCAATAGTTACTTTTACTGGTAACTAGTTACTTTTATAGTGGAGTAACTCCGTTAGTAACTCAGTTACTTTTTGGGAGAAGTAACTCGTAACTATAACTAATTACTTTTTCAAAGTAACGTGCCCAACACTGCTGATCGAGGAAGTCATGCGCAGAGAATAGCAGCAGTTGAACAGCAGTGCAATGGCGTGCAGTAAAGTGAGGAAAATTGATCGAGAGTGCCGGGTTTTTAATGAACAATGGACCAGGGATTATTTTTTTGTTCCATGGAAGGACCGTGCCATTTGTATTATATGTAAAGAAAACGTGTCCGTGTTTAAAGAATACAACCTTCGCCGCCATCACGAAACCCGTCACAAGGAGTATGCTAGCTTGAAAGGGGCAGCGAGAGATGACAAAGTTCGGCGACTGAAAGGTGGGCTAGCAGCTCAGCAGGATGCCCTGCTCCGTCAATCACGGGCCAACCTGGCTGCTGTTCGAGCAAGCTACAAAGCAGCTAACCTACTGGCTATTCACGGCAAGCCGTTCACGGACGGTGAATTCGGGAAGGCTATGATGCTGGCTGTGTCTGAGGAAGTGTGCCCCGAGAAGACGGATACCTTCAGAGGGGTGAGTCTCTCGGCACAAAGCATGACTAGGCGAATTGAGGAGATGGGGGAAAACGTCCTTGACCAACTCAGAGAGAAAGCGAAAGATTTTGTTTTTTTTGCTTTAGCCATGGATGAGAGTAATGACGTGAAGGACACGGCACAGCTCTTGATTTTTATCCGTGGTGTTAACACTCGTTTCGAGGTATCAGAGGAGCTAGCATCTCTGAACAGTTTAAAAGGGACAACAACGGGTGAAAACATATTCGCCGAAGTTTGCAAAACAATGGACGAGCTTGGTCTGCAATGGACGAAGTTTGCCAGTGTTACAACAGATGGTGCGCCTTGCATGGTCGGATCGACAAGGGGGCTAGTAGGGCGCTTGAACGGCGAGTTCGAGGAGCGAGGTCTCGCTCCACCGATTCAAGTTCACTGTTTGATCCACCAGCAAGCGCTGTGCTGCAAAGTGTTAAAGTGGGCGTCTGTGATGAAGGTGGTCGTGCAGTGTGTCAACTACATCCGGAAAAATGGGCTGAAACACAGGCAGTTCCAGGCCTTTCTCTCCGAATTGGGGTCTGCCTACCAGGATGTGCTGTACTACACCGAAATTCGATGGCTAAGTCGAGGCAAAGTATTGCGCCGTTTCTACGACCTGCTGCCCGAAATTAATACCTTCCTCCAGTCTAAAGGTGAAACGGTACAGGAGCTGACGGACCCGGGGTGGAAATGGGACCTCGCGTTTTTAACTGATGTGACTGAAGTGTTGAACCACCTCAACCTACAGCTCCAAGGCAAAGGGAATCTCATCAGTGACATGTATTCCCACATAAAAGCATTCGAGGTCAAACTGCAGCTCCTTCTGCGACAGGTCCAAAAGCTGGACTTCACACATTTCCCTGCCACCCAAATGTACTGCGCCGAGAAACCAGCTGCCCCTTTCCCTGTCGCGAAGTGCAAGGATGCCCTGGAGATGCTGCAGCGAGAGTTCAGTGTGCGCTTCCGCGAGCTTCATGTCAACAACAAAGACATACGTCTGTTCCAGAACCCGTTTGCTGCTGACATAGACGACGCACGTCCCTCTCTTCAGTTTGAACTAGCCGAGCTGCAGAATTGTGATGTCCTTAAAGACGCATTCAAGCCTGACAGCCTACTTGAGTTCTATGCTGCTCTACCAGAGTGCACATACCCAAACATCAAACAACATGCTCTGAGGATGTGCACCGTATTTGGCAGCACCTACACGTGTGAGCAGACGTTTTCCCGCATGAAGCAAATAAAAAATCCAACAAGGAACAGACTCTCAGATGAACATTTGCATCAAACTTTGAGACTGGCAACCACTAGGCTACACCCAGACATCGGACTTCTCGCCAGCCAGAAGCAGGCACACAGTTCACACTGATAGGTAAATATACTGATTTTAACTATTACAAATTTATGTGGCTGTAAACATGCATATAAACACGGACTATGCTTTTTGATGAAATATGATTGTTTTCATTCCATGTTAATGAATAATGCTACACTGTGGCCTATTTGTAAAATCACATCAAGGAACAACAGGCAGCATATCTAGAATTATGATTCAACTGAATGTGTCCAATCTCATCCCTTTATGCCAGGTTTCCAGGCAGCAGGAGAGGGGACTGCAACTGCTGACCTCAAAGATCACTGCCCATCACTTACCTGCCCATCCATCCTTCATCCCACCTTGGTTACAGCAAGTACAAATTCACTGCACATATTGCTGACTTCTGTTACTCTGTTATTCTGTTACTCTCTTCCGAGTGCAAATTGCTCTGTCTCTCATCTCCTCTCTCTCTCTCTCTCTCTCTCTCTCTCTCTCTCTCTCTCTCTCTCTCTCTCTCTCTCTCTCTCTCTCTCTCTATCTCTCTCTCTCTCTCTCTCTCTCTCTCTCTCTCTCTCTCTCTCTCTCTCTCTCTCTCTCTCTCTCTCTCTCTCTCTCTCTCTCTCTCTCTCTCTCTCTCTCTCTCTCTCTCTCTCTCTGCATCTCTCTCTCTCTCTCTCTCTCCTCTCTCTCTCTCTCTCTCTCTCTCTCTCTCTCTCTCTCTCTCTCTCTCTCTCTCTGCACTGCCCCTCATCTCAATCTCCTATTTCAAAGGGTTATAAATCACTGTTTTAGGTTTGTTGATATAATGGTCATGGCAAACTTTGTTTTATATATTATTATTGGTCAATTTGATTTCATGATCTACATGTGAGCTATTATAGAGCAATGAAGTTCTGTTTGTTGTTGCTCTTTCTGTAATTTAAATGTTTTTAATGCATTCAGTTTATTTGACCTGTATGGTGCACTTAATTATAACTCATCAATAGGCCTTCCTACAGTTTGTAATTTTCAATAACCTAGTGTGAATGACCAGAAGTTTCTTGTCTTGATAGTTTCTCATCTCACTGGAAGTTAAACAGGCCTTCCCTTTCTCTTGTATCACTCATAAACTCAATCACCATATTTTTCTAACCTTTCCCTGCTATTTTTACATGGTTGTTATTAGAAAATAAAAGGAATACCTGTGGTATTTCAAATTGGAAAAACGTGAAGAACTCACTTCTTTTGTAAATCACTTGTAATGATGAACTATTTTGTGCTTGAAATTATGGCTATAACTGGCCGTGGCCGAGTATACAGCCCATATGATTGATCCCGGCCCCTCAACACAGTCAGGAACGATAATGTGGCCCCCAGAGAAAAAAGTTTGGGGACCCCTGATATAACGTGAAGAGACGGGACCCACTTTGTGTTTCACTGATGTATAATGTACCTGAACTTGAAGACCAGCATCCGAGCCCTCAAATATCCTCCGAGCCAGTCCCAAATTCTCCCGCGCCATCACATCAAGGAAAGAATAATCCACATCGTTCCCAAATCCAAGACAAAACAGTGACATGTTCCCAGCGATGGCAGCCTGGATATTTTTCTGTATCACAGGGATGCTACTCTCTCCTGGTTGCAAACACATAGATCAAAGCCTTGCACATATTGTATACATAAAATAAGTAACAACATGTTTTATTACCAGAGTTTGGATTCCCATCAGTGAGCAAAATGATCATATCTGTACTTCTCTCTGGAATAGTGTTTTTCCGATGGCCATTCTTCAACATTTTCACAGCCTCCTGCAGAGCGCTGTTGACGTCAGTGGCTTAAAAGTGAAGATATTTGACTGAGATAGAAACATTTTGGTCCATAATAAACAATAAAGGATACAGTACAGATGACGAACAGTTGTAATTTAATGTTTACACACTTGGACCGAAATGTCATTGTTTATGCCATAATCTGGAGATTACGAATGATGTTTTTGTTGTATTGTCACATAAAGAGTTTTCCACACTGAGCCACACTGGGGATAATCTCAAACCTGCGGTACAGGACGTTACAGGAAACAAAGGCTTTTTGCCAAGAAGAATGAGCAGCTCTACCATAAAGAAGACTGCCAGCTGTCATAGGTTAAAGGGGATGGACATGGACATTTATTATCAGGGTCTGAAGAGTCGTTTCAGTTGTTGTTCTAATTTGATCAAATAGAAAACATGTTTATTTGACAATAAATGGCTTCCCACATCCATTAACACTAGGCCTTTAATTATCATTATCATTTATAATCTCCAAAATATGGCAGAAAAACAGAAGAATGTAAACCTGGGTGTCTTTTCTAGATCTAATAATGTCTAGTTTAAAGGTTCCACTTACAGCCATTGTCCTTAATCCTTTTTACAAAGGACTGGGCAGCAGTGATGTTCTGCTGTGTTGCTTTTGAAAGGTATTTTCTCCATTTTATTATCTTGTTATCAAATATTATTAAAGCAAAGTGGTCCTCTTCATGGAGGTCATCAAAAATGGCCTTAAGTGCTTCTTTTGTCTGTTATAAAAGACAACATATTTATTGTTTATAGTGAACGGTGAAATTCTATCTGTTTGCAAACCAACTGAATACGCCTTTACCTGTTGCATCTTTATTCCACTCATTGAACCACTTCTGTCAATGACAAACACCACATTGACAGGAACTCTGGGGAGGTCAGGAGGGGCAAAGAAGTGCACAAAGTATCCATTAGAAATCTGTAAAAAAAAGCACAGTCAAATATGTATTATCATTATTAATCAAAATAAATATTTTGGTGTAAATAAAGTATATATAATTATACATTTAAAATGTATTCATATTGTTCTCAGTGAGAAGATTCTAGATTTGAACAGGGCCTTTCTGAGAGGAGTTTGCATGTTCTACCCGTGTCTGCGTAGGTTTCTTCCAGATTCTCCAGTTTCACCTACCACTAAAAAAAGTCCAGTCCAGTCCAGTTTATTTATAAAGCACTAATAAACACAACAAGGTTACCCAAAGTGCTGTACATGAAAAGACATACAAAATTATACAATTAGAAAATACAAAACGGTGGCAAATAACACTATTTACAGCAAAAAATCAATTCAAAAGCAATTAAAAGCTAATGAGAACAAGTTAACTGCCATATAAAGATAGGAACCGAAAATGCCTACTAATGGATAATTTATTAAAATACTGAGATAGAAATACATATAGAAACAGAAAAAGTCACGAAAAGTCAAGTAATTGTGCCAGTGTTATTGTCTTGTGTGATTGTTTATATCTTATTTTGTTCAGCACTTGAGTTGCCCTGTGCTTTACAAATACATTTGCCTTGCCAAGGGTTAGGCAAACTGAGATCTTACCCTGGACTCAATAATTCAATTCAATTCCTTTTGTTTTTTAAATGAAGAGTTTAATTGATCTCAAATGGTGACACTACTGAACAACAAAAATGTCTCACTTGAATTTCGCCCAAGCTCTTTTCTCGTTTAACATCATATTTTATAATAAAATCTCCATCGATTATTGATCCCTCACATCCTGGACAAGTTCTCTGCTGTTCCAAGGTCGGTGTGAAAGAAATATGAGCCTGCACACATGAGAAACATAGATTGGCAATTATGTATTTACATCGTTCTAGGGCTGTCTTTACAAGGTATTTTATTACTAATCACTGTGTCTCAATTACTAGAATTGCACGTGAAAACTGCTAAAAGTATGGATCCCATGAAGAAAAACAGCTGAAGATTGGCGCAGGGCGGCACGGTGGCTGAGTGGATAGCACTCTCGCCTCTCAGCAAGAAGGTCCTGGGTTCGAATCCCGGTCGGTCCAGGGCCTTTCTGAGTGGAGTTTGCATGTTCTCCCCGTGTCTGCGTAGGTTTCCTCCGGGTACTCCGGTTTCCCCTACCACTAAAAATATGTCCAATAGGCATGTCTGGCATGCGCCTCCTGTACTGGCCCCGCTCCCATCTCTGTGTGGAGTGAGAGATAAAATGCCCAAAAATAATAACAATTGTAAACCGCTTTGAGACTCAGATCTGCAGTGAAAAGGCGGTATATAAATAAAGATTACTACTACTACTACTACTACTGAAGATTTTGTTATTTACTTTGATTTTCAGGCCACATCAAACTCTCAATCAACTTTTTTTCATTACGTACTAAAGTACATTTTGTCCACATATTGGCCACACTTACTATAATCTGCGGGTTTTCATTTTGTAATGTAGTTGGTAAATCCAATCTATTTTGACATTAACTCAACATTAACTCATCTCAACTAAAAGTCCATAAATAAGAGCTCTAATCACAACAAACAAGTCCTGTATATTTCCCTGCACTTCTTTGTATCTCTCTGCTGTTCACATAAACACAAGGAATAAAGGTCGCAGGGTGCAAATTACTTAAAAAAGAAAGACATTGAAAGGGGTTGTTATAAACTTCCACATCCCCATTTTTAATCAAGTCATTTATCATCGGGGCATTTGTTTGGTACCTTTTTGTCAGTGACGGTTTTGTCCACCAGGAGGAGCAAGTCATTTGTCAGGAAAGAGGCCTCTGCTTCAACAAAAGCAAGACCCTGAGGCTCAAAGATGTTGACTACAATCTTTACCAAAATGTGATGAAAGTAAAGAATGTAGATCCAATGAAATGGAAATGTAAAAATCCATATTGAACTGACAGAAACTTCACCTTAAACTCCTGGACGAGCTGCTGGGGTTTAACCCGTGTGAGGATCTCATAGTGACCCAGTTTGCGCTGAAGAAGCTCCTCGTAGGTCAAAGTGAACACGACAGAGCTCAAAGCGGCGATATTGACAGACACTGAAAATTTCTCCATTTTCCTCCCAGAAGCTCTGAAAAAAAAATCATCCTTATACAGCACAAAGAAATGTGCAAACACAATATGTACATCTGTCACATTGTCCCTGCCACTACATGCATGTGGTGAAATGGATGTCCAATTTCATGAATGATTATTGCGTCAGCGTGGGCGTGGCATGGGTGTGTGGTTGTGGATGTGATATCATGGGTGGGCTCTCCAGTGCAGGTGCGTGAGTGAGTGGTTGAGTACAGTTTTTGACTTCAGCTCACTAATCAAAGTATTTTTGTTTCTTCTTTGTAAAGCAATAACACTTTTAGTAGCTCAGTTGGTAGAGCATTGGCCTTTGGGCCTGAAGGTCGTGGGTTCGAGCCCACCATAAGACCTACTTCATGACTCCCACTGATGACTGCTGTTGTTGTGTACTTGGGCAAGACACTTAACCCCACTTTACCAGAAGTCCCTGCTAAAAGGTCTCAGCTCCTGTGGACTCACGACCTGCAGGAGGATCAGTGAGGGACTGGTGCTAAGTGACCCAGAAATGGATTAAGGGGAAAGATATGGATGGATTGAAAAAGCTTATAAATGAAAGGCTCGAGTTTTGCATCGATTCTCACAGTTCAAACACTTACTTGACCAAACCAGCTGTCTGTCCAGAAGATACGGCTTTATCATATTGTTTTTTGGCCTTTTCCTTCTCTTTCACATTTCCCACATAGAGTTGACCATCTATTTCCCTGTTTAGAAACAACAACACAAACCTTATTGAGTCATTGTGAATTTTCTGAACAAGGTTCAAATTAGTACAACTATATACATACAACAGTGTAAGAAATAGAAAGGGGGAAAGAGCAACCGACCTGGGGCCTTTTCAGTGCTTCACTGCACAGCCTCAGTTCTTGTTCTACAGCCTAAATCTAAGGCAATGCTTTGTCTACTGCCCTCTTACATCTGTCATTTAATCATACAGAGAAATGTTGGTTCTTACGGTTTGAGTTCAAATGATCTCTCTGTTCCTTTTGTCAGCACAGAACTGGGAAAAAAGGCTTTTGTATAGTCAGCTCCTTCTACATGGAACATGTTGCAAAAAGACTGGAAATTAACTTATTTCATTGAGAGCACTTGAGAAATTCTCATTGACGTGTAACTGTTTTTATTATCTGTAATTGTGTGTAACTTTTGCTGCCTCTTGTCCAGGACTCCTTTGAAAAAGAGGTTATTAATCTCAATGGGACTTTCCTGGTTAAATAAAGGTTGAATAAAAATAAAACAAATCTAAAGATGTGAAAACGAGTGATACTGAGAGAGCGAGGACTAGTTATATGGATGTTATTGCATTACACTTTTGTTGTTTGAGAGTTAGGTACCCCAGCTTAAAAGAAGTGGGTTGAACCAAACAAAGCATGCTAATATTCAAAATGCAAAAGGATGGTTAATTAGGAGAAATATCTATACTCCTCTGACAGAAGTGTAGAGAGACTGACATGCTGAAGTTGGTGATGAAGGCGGTCTTGGGCAGATCCACGTCAAAGAAGATTTCCTGAGAGCTGTTGGCCTTGTTCAGAGCCTTGGACGTCATGACGGTGTGAGCGAAGCGAGAGGTGACTGTGCAGTCCAGCGTCACACTGTACACCTCCACCTTCTGCAATGAAGGTGATAATGAATGAAAAGATGACAGCAGACAAATAACACAAAAGAGGTAGAACACAAGTGGTCAGTTAGATTCATGTGGGAGCAATAGAGTAAATAAAGTTAAACAGAAGCACAAAACAATACAGCCATTGTGAGACAAAAACAGCCCTGGATCCCATGCAGACTAGACTAAATACTGGAAATGTCTCAATATTGGTTTCTTTCAGCCACAAGGCTTTATTTCCTAAGCAACAACAAAATGGACAAATTATTGAGAGATTCCAAACATATGCGTCAGTATGTTTTGTCACCAGCATGGAAAGCAAATCTATTCTCATCAGTTCCACATATTGCCCATCTGGATGTGTTAAGGGGCGATGCCAGTCATGGGCACGTGCCAAATAAACTCTGACTATTGACTATCAGAACTTACTTAAGACAAAAACACTGACACGCAACCGCCCCCAATGTTGAATGTTCCCATGAGAAAACACAAAAACAGAATAATCACGGATAATGAACTACTTATGCCACAAACAATACACTGCAAAACCATCTCTTAAAGTTGCACTTAGCTTGTTTTGAATGTATGTAACCATACCTGGTGTGGAACATCTCTCCTGTAGACAGCAGCTGCCTGCAGTCCTGCAGGGACACAGCTCAGCCATAACAGAACCACTGACCACATCGCACCACACAACTGTCCCGATGCTCAGATATGGCGTGGGACAAAACTTTGGGAATCTAAAGCATGTGGGGATCAAATCTTCCATAAACTCCTCCCACGGGGGCCTACGCCCCTGCCCTCCTACGTGAGAGAGCGTGTGTTCTGGTAAACAGTGCAGAGGCGACCAGTGAGGGCATGTCCACAAGGGGAGTCTCCTGTCTTTGGGAACACATTATTACGCACTCGTCTTCTTTGAGAAGCGGCCGCTTTTCGACATTGAACTTGGGCCAGAACAGTTGCATAGACTTGCAGTGTGTGCATCAATGATAAGGTCCTGGTGCCGAGTCAAACTGTTTCCATCCTTGACGACCAAAATTATGAGTGGAAAATATAAATTTTCAGTTATAGCTTGTTGAAAATATCCTTATAATGGAAGTCAATGGATCATTTTTTAATCCCAAGGTGTGTAATTGTGTGTTAGATTGATATGACTTTAAAATAGTACCTAACTATCATTTTAATTAATGTTAAATCCATAAAATCTCTTTTAGAGACGTTACATACAAGTACACATTTTAAGATCCAGATATATTTTTCAGGTCTTTCTTTTAGCATCACTTACTACTACTTATATCTTTATTTATTAATAACACACAGTTAGAAAAAACTATACAACTTTATTAAACATTGCATATAGGTTTATAAAACAGTTCACAGTATTTCAAATGTCATTGACATTTGTGTAACAGACTTTAAAAACATCTCAGTCCCACTTCACTTCTCCTGAGCAGAAAGCCTCATTCAGACTGAACCGGTCTGAGGAGTTTCTCTGAGACAATCCCTGAATGACTCTGGGCCTCTCTGTGCTGCAGCCAGCTCTCCTCCCGTATCGCCCGCAGCAACCCCTCCTGGAAACAGGAGCAAGAGAGTGATGTCAAGAGGATGCATAGCTCAAATAAACATTTATTTTAAACATTAAAAACACTTCAGGGGTCCATTTGTCCGGTCTAGTGTGATTTTGAAGAATGAATAGATTAAACACAGCACAAAACTGTAGGTCTTTTGGAAACGGAAAATACCAACCTCATGGGAGCCAGACAGCACCAGGATGACATCTCCTTCATCAAACTGGAGCAGGCCATCTTCACTTGCTGCATGGCTCTCTAGCGCCACTGCCTGGTTACAAGATATGTTTTTAAACCATTAATTATTAGATCTTTGAAATAAGAGAATGAATGAGAGAAAAAAATGTTCAAACGATTGCCGTCAAAACAAATCCACTAATAACAACATTCTAATGCACTGTTCATGGATTAACGACGATTTACAGATTTACACACTTGATCAACTGTTCTAATAATGTTCCGAAAACCTGAATCTAACTTACAAAACTTTAATTGCTTAAATTTAGAACTCTTTTAACAGCTGTATAAATCTTAGGGTGAGGAGTTAATAATTGGCACAATTTAGCTCAATAATTAAAAAACATGTTCAAACTTGATTCAATATAAAATACTAGTCTGTTTTGTCCAACCCTTTTTCAAACAGTGCATTTGTGTTTATGTATCTAGTTTGAAAGATTGGTCCTACACCAAAACATATTCTGCTGAAAGACAAAGACACACCTTGTATAAAAATTCTGGAGGATTTGTGGATTTATCCGTCTCCATCATCTGCTCAGGCTCATTGGGTTGTGGCGGGTGCCTTTCTCTCCGGCGGAAGGACAGGCGCGGAGCTGGGACTGGCGGCGGCTTGACTTTAGTCTCCTGCATTGGCTCGTCACTACTGTCCTGTGGATCGGCCCCATCTGCGGACACCTCTGAACTCTCCACTTCACACACTTGCGCTTCTTCCTCAGAGTCTCTCACGTGATTCGTGGGCAGCTCCGGTTCACCCTCGGCCTGCGCGTCCGCTAAAGAGTGACCGCCGTCGCTGTTGTCGCACACGGACCGTCGTTTGGGAGTGTTGCTGCCGCTGGAGCTGAGGTCCGAGTCCGAGGAGTGCATGTCTTTGGTAGAAGTCCCGCTCTCTGCTCTCTGGTCTTCTATGGCGCTCTGAGACTGCTGGCTGGAGCCAGATGATGCGTCGCCGTCGTTGGAGTTGATGGAGACGTGGTCCGCTGGGAATGCCGTGTTGCAGGGAATGGGGTTGGAGATAACCAGGGATCTTTTCTTCTTAGACTTGCTTGTGTTGCTGGGAAATAGAAAGATCTTTTAAAATGACTATTGAATGTGTGATTTCTTTTTTTGTCTGCCACCAACTGACCTCCGACATGGCATCATAAGCGAGTAAATAAAAAATGTCAACTCATGTCCTTACTTACAAAGTCTATCTGTTCTTGCATTCTTAGCCTGACCACCGGGGATAACGCAGATTTGTTTGGTTTTACAATTGTTGGCTAGAGTTCTACTTTTGGTTACATGTTTTTATTGGTAAAGCCATACATGTCCATACAAAGTGTGTTTGTTAAAGAAGAGAAACACAGTAAATGAAAAAAAATCTTTTCTGATATTCTATGCATCATGGATTATTGGCTTGTACCACTGTGTCCATCGTTTATATTTACACGTCGGCCATTTACAAGCGTTTAGTTAGTTCATGACCGTGACTTCCACTATTATACATTATTTGTGTTTATTTTGCCTTTTCAACCTTATCTGGAACAATATTTATTTTGGCATGTAATGCATTCAAATGTGAGAAATATATGGTTAAATATGACCAAACTCTATCTAGTGGTAGAAGTAGAACTTTACTTGAGAAAGAATGGGATTCACTGAAGACATTTCCAAAATTAATTTAGAGGCCATTCTTTTGGAATTAAAAATGGAGACAGTGATTAAAAAATACCCTAATTTTATTTTAGCAATGATTTTTGTTTTTCGACCCTTATTGAGGGTATTTTTCTTATACTTTTAATCATCTGTGGTGTGTCATTGTGACCCGAGGGTAGCCCAAGGGTTAAACATTACAACAATGTTCCCATGACACAAACCAGACGAGAGTTTGCTTTATGGCACAATCTCTGCCCCTTTCAACCATCTCCTATCTCAACTCTAGAATATTACGTCACGCTCAAAGCAGTTCTCTGACTTACAAAACAAAATTATTGCCTCCACATAACTTCTTGAAATGTCTCCAGTGAAATGACCATTTCAACCGATCATGAATCCGCCTTACCTGTCCAGACCCTTCACAATGAAAGCTTTGCCTGAATGTTGAGTCTCCAGCTTTTTCATGATGTTGTACAAGTCCCGGTTTAACTGCAAGAACACAAGTGTTAAAGAAGGGACAAGAAGGGTTAAACAGAACTATGAGTGTCTCTTACCACGCTCATTTCTTTATAGAAGACATCTCTGAGGTTGGATATGTTTTGGAAGACTGTTACATAGCAACCGATCCGACTGCAGGAAACAAGGAGTAAAATATCTAGTCCTGTATTTTTAGTTCTTTTTGGGTTCAGATATCAAACTTTCAAACCTCAAAACACACTTATGAAAAAAAATTATATCTACCATGAGGAAAACTACTACTGACCAATACTGTTTGAACCTAAAATATTAATTTACAGGTTCTATATCACTCGACCAGAAAGCAACACACAGAATTGAGTTAACTTTTTAAGGTCTATTGTATCGCAGGATGTTGATAAATGTGCTTCGTGTTTACCAACTCTATTATCATAATGACTGATGAAGTGAGAAATACCAGGGTGTCCTAGTGCATTTTTCCAACAGTAATAATCGTAATAACATTTTCTATTTGAAGTAACATGCATATCTTCAAACAATCAATCGCATGCATTCATGTGTATTCAATGCTGATATAGATTTGTATTATAGGTCTACCTCTGATGGAGTCCAGGCAGCTCCTCTCTCAGCTCAGTGTTAATCTCTTCAAAGACGCTCTGGGCTTTGTTGAACTCCTCCTCTGCCTTAAAACAAACATTTCATAAAACTAATTTAAATGTGATGTCAGAAACAGTGAGTCAATTCCAACAATAACGTACAGTGCTTGCTCGCGACTTTGCTCAAGGTCTTTGAACTCTGCGGCCTATAAAGCGATGTGGCCAATGTATGCATTTTTATTTTGGGATTTGGACACAGATCTGTCAGCTTTTGTTTCATCCAATCCCATTTCAAACCAAATCAAGAGACATTTAGAACAGGGATTAAATCATGTTGTGTCCAGTTATAACAGTTCAGTTCACTTTATTAGAAATATAAAATAAAAGTAAGTACGTTTTTTTTATTAATATACCGCCTTTTCACTGCAGATCTGAGTCTCAAAGCGGTTTACAATTGTTAATTTTGGGCACTTGTCTCTCACTCCACACAGAGATGGGAGCGGGGTCGCCGAACAGGAGGCACATGCCAGACCTATTGGACATATTTTTAGTGGTAGGGGAAACCGGAGTACCCGGAGGAAACCTACGCAGACACGGGGAGAACATGCAAACTCCACTCAGAAAGGCCCTGGTCCGACCGGGATTCGAACCCAGGACCTTCTTGCTGAGAGGCGAGAGTGCTATCCACTCAGCCACCGTGCCGCCCCTGTTATAAAATGTTATAAAAGCATGTAACATTCATTCATAATTAGTGACATTGTATATTTGTAAATGGGACACCCTGGAAGCAACTTTTCTCTTATATTTGGGGCCCAAGGGCTCTTTGTTTTGCTCCCTCAGCAGTTGTGTTACATTACAACATGAAAATCTGCGGCTTATTCAAGTGCAGCCTACATATGGTAATAAATTAATAAATACATTTTGCTCTTGCGATATATATACACAGGTGCACATAATAGTCCAGCAAGTACTGTTTTGAGAACTGTTTCTTTCATTAGCAAAACTACCAACAGTAATCAGAATAAGAAATCATTTTATTTCCATTGTGACAAGAATTCACAAACTAGGAAAATGCTTTGGTACAAAATGAAAAAATGGAATAAGGCATGAAAATAAATACAATCTAAAATTTGTTGGAGGAGAACAGTTAAAACAATAACAAGGGGCCTCTAGGATTTGAATGTATTCGGTCCAATCAGGAAGCTGTGGGGATGAGCAGCGGCACCAGTGCTGGTCATAAAGTTTCACTATAATCTCAGTTTGAAATGTAACCTACATTAACTTTGACAATTCAAAAAAGTAAATGTTGTCTTCAGTTAAATTATTATGACATTGTATCTAACTAGTCTTTCAAAATAACCAAACCATAAAAATAAAAAAAAGATCATGTGATTTATATACCGACTTTATACCTTCACAATTTTGGCGTCATCCTTCTTCTTTGCACTTTGAAGACCCTCCAAATGATGTCGAGCCGAATCGTAGTCCACCAGTTTCCGCCCCCGTTTGGCAACTCTTTCCTGATAATTAATGGTGTTTAATAGCAAATCGTTTTTTTTATGCGAAGGAGGATGAGGAGTCCAGTTACCTTAACCTCGGGGAACTGGCTCGTGTAGTTTTCCATTGTGCGGACAAGCTGGTCATTTATCTTCTCCTCAAAATCATTCCACAATAAGTCCTCGCTCTAGAGGAGGCCAAAAATACGATAGAATTGGAGAGCACACAAGTGATTACGGTTCTTGGCAAATAAGCCTACTGAAAAATCCTGCTGCTTTGAGTGTACTAGACCGTCTCAGGGAACAGAAATAATGTGAAAAATGTACTGCACTGATCTACTGCACGAGATCATCATACAGGTTTGTGATTAAAAACAGATATTTTTATGTGAAACTCTGAGGATAACAATATTGTTCTCAATTTAATTCATTTCTATAATTCAACTTAAAATGTGAAACAAATATATGACATAGAATAGGGGTGTCAAATAAGCTCCAGAACGGGCCAGTGTGGCTGTAGGTTTTAACCACCCATTTCCTCAATGAGTCCAGTCTGAACCTGGAGGAAATGTGTGTGCTTGCTTGGTTGAGGACCAGTTTAAAACCCCTCATGTAGACTCATTACAAGCAAAATGATAAATGCCTTGGCTCACTGCCCCATATAAAGAGTTTTTATATGGGGCAGTGAGCCAATTATCAAGATCAAAGGCTTGACATATGTAGTTAGTGTCATATATTAGTTTCACATTAAAATTTGAATTACAGAAGTAAATGTACATTTGAACAACATTCTAATTTTCACCTGTATTGCAATTGAAAAAGCTAAAAAGGTAGGTTTTTTTTATCTGTACGCCATAATACTCAAAATTCCAAGAAATAGAGATACATTTTTGAAGTTTCTTTGAATTAATTCACAACTGATGTACACGTACGTCTGTAATGAGGGTAAGGTCTTCCAATCCATCCCAGTCTGATTCATAGACGTCCCGTAATGTCAAAGAGAGCTTCTTTGAGGTTTCATGTACAGCTGAAAAAAATACATAATAAAATCATTTTAAGGGAAGATAAGATTAAGATTAATAGGAAATTTCATTGTTGCATCACGAATTACAGAACAGTAGAAATGAGCACACAGCACAAGATAAATCAGACTGGGTAACAAAAAAATATTTTTTGAAAATAGTCCAGGGATTTCCAGCTGAATTAGACTAATTTTGATGCTCTGAGTCCGAAAATGACCTTGGCTTTGCAAAATCAGGTCAGGATTTTATGCTACAGAAATATTTTTTTTAAAATCGATTTTGCGTAAAAAACTAATTTCTGCGGATCATCAGCTGAGAAACCCTTGACGTTTTTTCCGTTTTCCTCAAGAAATAAAAGTCAACGTATCCAAAGTCATTCCGTTTTTATTTTCTCCATCAAATTTGATTTGAATGTAGACGTACATAATCCGTAACACTATGGCCGTATCTCAAAAAGTTAACCTGATAGAGCAAAATGCATGTGATATTCGGACTCAGAACACCAAAATTAGTTTAAATCAGTTGAGAAACCCCTGACCACTTTTTGGCTGTCAACTTGAGTAATTAATAACTAAAATTGAATAAAATAAAAATCTAACTCTTTAGCATAATTAAGGAAAGAAGTCTTAAAATCTCCAACTTTAGCATAATGAAGAAGCAAGACTTATATAATAAGGAGCAAGAATAAAGTTCTGTTTTCATTGTCCCAATGTGAAAATGCATGTGTGCATAACCATACATACATGTGCACTCATTACAAGTAATAGGGAAAGTGCTATAGTGCTAAGAAGACTTTATCTGGTTAAATGAATCCATATTTATTGGATTGTAAATGCATATGTAGATCACAAACATGAAGGGCGTATTGAGGTGGTGTTTTGTTGGGAGACTCCTTTGTGACAGCTGCAACAGTAGCTTTCTGAAAGGGTGGCAGCTGACAACAGATTTGAGGAAAAAAAGTCGCATTGCTTAGTCAGCTGTTTGGGTCTGAGAGCTGCAGTGTGTCAAAAGCAAAAGATCATTCAGGAACACAACAGTTTGGATTTGTCCAGCTTCAGTTTTGAGTTAAATGCCACTCGTTCTGTAATACTTATAAGACTATACTAACCTTTCACAGCAGCGTGGTAGGCCTTTACGTCTTTGAGCAACCTGAATCCATCCACCTGAGCACAGGAGAAATTAGATTAGAACATATACAAGTTTAATCTGTAACATGACTTCCTGTAATTGGATAAAAAAAAAATATACAAGAAAGATTTTAGTAAAAAATAAAAACAACATAAAATGTATGTGATGTAATCCCAGCGAGGGGTGAAGTGAAAGTTGTTATTTCAACTCTGATCAGCAGATTGATTTCCTTCCCGTTTTTGACTGTAGCTCCAGTTTGTGGTTTAGAAAGTTGCACATGTTTTACTCGTTATAAAAAGATGAAAATGAAGGCCCACTTTAGATTTGATTGTATAACATACCAAGTCTGCATCTTGTATCGTGTATTTCCTGTTTTCAAGGCCAAGCTGATTGTCTGAACTTGTGCTGGCAGCAAGACATAAGCTAAGCAGGAAAACAAAGCTCTGTGTGTGCTAATGCTTTCAGACTTGGGCTCAGACTTGGGCTGGGTGAAGTGATCATGGGATGGTTGACACATACATTTATTTTCCAAGCCATTAACTAACTAAAACTGAAGCACAGAAAGAATATGTTATTGATGGTTCCATATTTTAGGCCCAGAGTGTTATGTACAGGGCTGGGAGTGGTCTCAGTATTTCAATGGTACTTCCTGAAGAGTTATTTTATTGGTTTATTTGATTGTGTGAACAGTTATCTTGTTTCTTATGATCTTGAATTTCATTGATTGTACGGCCAACCCCGGCCCTGGGTCTTCAAGATGTCTGCCCATTCAAATCAATGGCCTGTGCACCATTGACATACTAAACACACGCAAAAATAACACTGTTTGGCCAGCTCTGGTTCAGACTCTTGTTCAGTATGTGTACTGTGATTCTACTTCCAAAGGACCAGAGTAACAGATGAGCGTTCTAACCAATCAGGGCTCACTGTGGATGGCGGCGCTTGCTCATGTTTCTCTCATGCTCGACGGTTCTAACCAATCAGAGCGCTGCTGATCAGAGCGGAGATGGAGCAGGAAGAGAGCGAGCAGATTTAGTTTGAAAACCAATGGATTTCAAATGAAAAGTTTAGGATGACAAGGGACATTAAAATCCCAAACGAATCCAACCTTCATTGCGAGCTATACATTCCTTGTCAGCGATAATGTTGAGGTCTATGGGAAAAATCTCCTTACAGCTGATGTGAATTTAAGTTGAGGTGCCCCGTTGTCAATTCTGGGGAGCCTATTAGATAATATATATTGCATCTATGGACCAAAAGTCCCAATAAGTTCCTACAGTGATCTCCTAGAATCCAGCAGCACCCAAAGAATTTCAGTTCAGTTCAGTTCTGGGTTTCATTAGTAGAACATACAAAAATCTATTCAATTAAAATGTTCTTTTAGTAAACACCAGAGCCAGATTACCCTCCCCAACTTTGATGACTGTGACTTGGTAAGACATGCATTACTATCAGGCACAATTTGTTATGAAAAGTACAGCGCCTCTGGATTGATAATGGTTTGAACTGTACGTTTGATCCGAGATTAGAATAAGTAATTGTGCCAATATGCTGCGTTGTTGTACACAGCTTTCAAATGTGTGACGTCTGTGGAGCTGCACCTGTTGCTTGTTGAGGTTCTGGGAGCACAACTCAAAATGTTCATCCTTGGTCTCCATTGTTTTACCCAGTTTCTGAAGAACCTGCAGAACATAAAAGACCGGTTGAGAATCTCATTTTTTACCACCTTTATGACGAGAAGCAAAAGCATTCAAACTGGCATACCCAACTTTCAAGAACTTTAATAAAAGCCATCCAAACTAGTTCCTAGTTTAGATCCGCTTTTCCAAACAGGAAAGGAAAAGGGAAAACAGCGGACCATTCCCAACAAATCCCAACAAATCAGCTCTCAGATTCACAGTATGCAAAAAATAACAGGCTTTTTAATTGAACGAAAGACAGCATGATGATTTTCTCATTTGTTGATGTCATGTCAAACAAAACGTTTTATTTATGGGATGAAAAGGTTTGTTAAAAGGAAAGTCTGGTTGATATGAGTCCATTTCGAGATTGCTTTAAGACAGCTGTTGCCTCACTTTGGGCAGCTAATGGATGGAGCTTAGGGTTAAGTCTATAGTACAAATATGCCACCTGTTACTGGAGTGCCTGTGTCTCAAAAAGTTTAAATGTATGATGCGAACAAAAAAAAACCTTATAGTGTTCTGAACTGTGTCTGAGATGTCTGTGTTTTTCATGGTTCCCGAATGCAGCTGTCTAGAGGTCACCAACCTAACACAAGAATAGATTGCATTATTGTACATAAAACATTTCCCGGCAAGTGGCATGCTTAAAAATAGTGCACCCAGACAGTTTTCAGGTAGTGCAACAAAACCAACCACACAAAAAATGAGTGAGAAGGTTAAAGCTTGAGAGGGGAAGTGCTCAGACAGGAAGTGGCAGCTTTGTTCACACACAACATAAACTGCAAGCTGAAAGAAACAACCAACTTTTGTTTTTCATCACGAATTTACTTAAGAAATATGCTTGAAGTTCTCTGGAATGTAGAATGGATTGATCCCCTGGCAATGGGCAACACATTCATAAGCCTTTAACTTTGCCTCCATCATAATACTATTCTAACAGGGGATCCCAAATACTATACAATATGACGCAAACAACCAATGACATTTTAATACTTGTTTAGTTGAATTGTATCAAAACTTTCATTGTACCAGCAGTTCACACATGCAACGTGTCCTACCTTTTCCTGCGCCCTGTTCAGAGACTTCTGTACGCGTCTGGCGAGGAATCCTGCCCCAGCCTGGAGGTTTGGGCCCATCTTATTGTCAGACATTGCGACTTTTTTCCGTTTTGACACTCAGAAACTGCTAGATAAGCCTCTTCCCGCTAGATGTGCAGTTGTTTTGGGTCGCTCTGCTCTTGAAGGAGGTGGCTGCGGTGGAGAGAGTGGAGGTGGGTGGGACATCAGCAACTCACTATAACGCATGGAGTGAGTCAGCTGCTGAGTAAATCCGCGTGGTTTTTCGTAATCATGGGGGCAGCTCTTGTTCGAACTTGTAGATGGAGGAATTATTACAGCTGCCCCCCGGCCTCTCCTCCTTAAGCTGACATAATACTCTTGCGACACCTTTCTGCTGACTGCCAGGCTCCTGTTGGGCTCCGCTGTTTCACCCCAAGGGAAAAACTCAGCTGTAAACTATGCGTGCAGATTGCAAGGTTGTGACGCTCGCGATGAGATTACAACAAAGCGCCGACTACTTACTGATGATAGAATTTATGATGATGATGATGCTCTTTAAACTTAAAATGTCGTCAACAAATCGGACGATAACATATTTTCGTCTTGTTGGAAAACAGTGTATCGTCTGCAACTCAGCATACTTGCGAGAACCCCTGTGAGTCACTATTTACATTTTGGGCTGAGAGCTGATTAGATAAGTGAAGGTGGTTTTCTCTTTTTCAATTTTCTGTCTGAAAAAAACTGATCTATGTATGTGACAGAGGAGAGGCCATATAATGCATGTGAAAACCAGAAATAGAACTGTGGTATTAGAGCCAGCTGGCCATTAACGATAAGTAATTACAGTAAAGTAAAGTAAAATAGCGCGTAGAAATACAGTAAAATAAAGCAGACCTTTACTTTATTTTGACACAATGTAAATCTAAAAAAGTATTATCAAGTAAATTACTTCAAATTGCGATACGTTAAAAAAGTGCCCCTCCTGGCATATCATGAAATACAATGTTTTGCTTGACGCATACTTTCAAAGTTTATCCAGTAGATGGCGGTCACATACTGTCGTGACAGTTCTGACACCGAGGCTTTTATGAGACGGGCTAGCTTCAGGTTTGTTCAAGCTTGGGTGACCTTTCACTGAACTATTTTAATGTTACTATGGATAAAGTAAGACCAGAGAGTTTTGTTGAAAAAAGTGCAGATCTGCATCTTTCCTAACATTTGTGGAAGTCCTTCTCATATACCCAAATTACACTGTCACATTTTCAAATAAATTAAACTAAACAGAGGGGAAAAGAACACACAAATATCTTAATCCTCAACTCATAGACCAGGGTTAGGGTCTATAATAAAAACGGGTTAGCTCAAATGATTTTATAAGTATTTTTTGTATTTTTTTCGTAACAAGGATGACGTTTTGGACGGTTGTTCATGTTGGTGGACGCGAGTGAGCACTTGGGCGGGGAATAAGCATTATATGTGTACACGCCCATGCGTGCGATCGTGGCTGAATACATCAAGCGCACCCCAAGCGGCGTTGCTACAAATAAGAAAAAGCATTTGGCGCGTTGAGAGCACAGGCAGTCTGAAGAACTGAGGATACGTCTAGCCTGTAAAGTTACAGCTTTTGGACGTGGGAGCGAAGTTACAACAAGCGTGGAAGCTGTCAAGCGCTAAAGGGGCCGTGTGGACTGCGTAAACCCGTGTGGTCCTCACGCTTGTCGGCTTTTCCGTGTGTTTGAGCTTGTCCCAGGGCGGGCGAAGACGGAAATCCTCTCAAAATGCCTCCCGTGGAAAAGGACAGCGTTAAAACTGAACTCAAATCTCGAATACAGCAACTTATTGACTCTAATCAAGTGATGGTGTTCAGTAAAAGCTACTGTCCCTATTGCATAAAGGTAAGATGTTGGTCTTTTGGGGAAGGGGCCTAGTGTAACCTCGTCCCCCCTCTGGGCTCAGCACTGGCCTGCTACTAACCTCAACTTTGAGGGATTTCATCACAGTACACGTCCAAGTAACAACTGGATAAGTTTAAAAAAAAAAACACATGGACAATGTGTAATAGGCTGAACATGGATATTTGTGTTTGTCCAGGTAAAGGACCTTTTCAAAGAGCTGAAAGTGGACTGCAATGTGGTGGAGTTGGATCTCATTGGTAAGAGTTCGTTGATGAATGATTAACGCTTAAAAACAATTGTTCTTCCTGTAGGATCAATAACATTATCTTTGTTCAAAGTGTAAAAAAGAATAGTATTTCTGGCACAAATACTTAATTATGGTTATTTTTACCAATGTATTCTGTTGGCTGCTTTTAAGTAATGCGGCTTTATTTACGCAGAAAGTGCAGTGAGCCTGTAGAAATGCTGAGTCACTCTGTGAAGACAGATATGCCAGACCCTGCTGTTATTTTTATTTTTGATCTACGGATGCCTTTTATGTTGTTCCAATTACAACAAATGCCATCTTACTAAATAATATCAATGAATGGCCCTCAATGAATTATAGCCTAATTCACTTTTATTTTGTTAAATTAGATGAAGAGATAATTTATTCATCCCACAGTGGGGGAATTTCAGTGTTTCATCACAAGTTACAGAACAGGAGGAGACATCACAAGAGAACATATAGCACAACAAAAAAGTAAAATCCTTATCTTAAGTTTAATAAAGAAGTATAAACTTGTATTATCTAGTGCCAAGAAATATATACTGTGTCTGTAATACTCGTGCAGGAATATTTATGTATTAAATTAAAATACTGCAACATTTCCTCTTTTGCCATTTGCATGAACTGTCACAACTAACTGCACAATGACTCATGGTTTTAGTTTTGTAAGTTGTAGTTTATCGTCTGTTTTTCAGAGAATGGGACTAACTATCAAGAGATGCTTCTTGAAATGACGGGACAAAGAACAGTTCCTAATGTCTTTATCAACAAGACTCATCTCGGTGGCTGTGACAAGACGATGCAGGCAAGACATTTGATCAGTAGTTTATCTATTCCAACACTCAAGAATTCTTGAGTGTTGTGCATCATGTTTATTTTGCCCCTTGGACTGTTACTATTTTTATTGATTAGTGTAGTAGTTATTATTTACAATTTAATATAATGTCATCTCAATGACTCATAAAAACTCTTGAACAACCAAAAAAAATTTTATTAGAATTATTAAGAATGATCCAAATGGCATACTGATATTTTTGTCTCTTCAAACGATTCACAATTGTTCAATTACTAAAGTTGACCTTGTTGTGGTCTTTGGGCTCGTATTTCATTGTTCTTATTCATTTGATTAATTCTTTGGTTAGGCCCACAAGGATGGCAGCTTACAGCAACTGCTCAGCGCAGAAAGTGAAACGTATGACTACGACTTGATCGTCATCGGAGGAGGGTCAGGAGGACTGGCGTGTTCAAAGGTAATAATTTATGAGCAAAATCAAGTAATGGACTGTCCAACCTCTGCAACACCTTTGTTGTGATGTGTTTTTAATTAGGAAGCTGCTTCGCTTGGAAAGAAAGTGATGGTACTAGACTATGTTGTTCCCACACCGAAAGGAACGACATGGGGTAAGATACTGCTTGACTTTTGGATATAATTTCAGTTTTTACTAATTCAACGGTGCTCTTCAGGTCTTGGTGGAACATGTGTTAATGTTGGTTGCATTCCCAAAAAACTGATGCACCAGACGGCTCTGCTGGCAACAGCCTTGCGGGACGCCCGTAAGTTTGGATGGGAGTTTGATGAAGCAGGTGAGGACTGTAGCTACAGTGTTGGCAATGTGCTAATGTCTGAGTGCTAATATACGGTGGTGGTTTTAAAGTGAAGCACAACTGGGAGACTATGAGGAGTGGGGTAAATGACTACATCGGGTCATTGAACTGGGGCTACAGGGTGGCTCTCCGGGACAAGAACGTGAACTACGTCAACTCATATGCAGAGTTTGTTGATCCTCACAAAATCAAGGTACTCGTAATGAATGACCAATAATTCAGTGGTTCATGTCACTATTGCTTAGAATTTATTTTTATATTTTTGATTCTGTCTGACATGTATAAAACTGATTTCTTGAAGGCAACAAACAAACGAGGGAAAGAGACCTTTCATACTGCTGCAAAGTTTGTGTTGGCAACCGGCGAGAGGCCCCGCTATCTTGGTATCCCTGGAGACAAGGAGCACTGCATAACCAGGTGAGTCCAGTCTAAAGATTTGGATTATACTTGTTTCTTGTGTTGATGTTTGGTCTGCTCGACCTGTCTCTTAATTGCCCTATACAGAATTGAATTCCATTTACAAATATGTATTGTCTTATGTTCCACTTTGACACATGCAAATCTGCCCCACAGTGATGATCTCTTCTACCTGCCCTACTGTCCTGGGAAGACCCTGGTGATTGGAGCCTCTTATGTGTCGCTGGAGTGTGGGGGTTTTCTGGCTGGTTTGGGCCTCGATGTCACGGTGATGGTGAGGTCCATACTGCTCAGAGGATTTGACCAAGACATGGCCAACCGGGCTGGAGAGCACATGGAGGAGCATGGAGTGAAGTTCCTCCGCAAATACGTTCCAGTGAAGGTACTCCTGTTTGCACCCTAATGCATCAACTAAAGCTGGCATTGTAGCATTTGTCAGAATTGCTGTTGATTTGATTAATTTCACAGTAAAATTACATCTTAAATGTCACGTGTACTGTGTCATCCGCTGGGAAGTTTCTGTTGCCCTGGTGACTAAAAGATTTGTATAGCTGTGCTCACAACAATGGTGGAAATTATTATTCACATGAAGTAGATTAGAGTGCTCACACAAGCGAAAGACTTCTCTGGACCTCGATAATCTAAGCATTTTGACTGTTGCTTAAATAAGCTTTATACTTGTTTATTACAATAGAATATCTTATATGTTAGCTCTGTTGAATGCTGTAAAAGTTAAAATACAGACACAATGACTGTAATATTAGTGCCCAAAAAGTACCAAGTTTATGTCTGAAGTAGCCTGGTTGTACCACACCTTAGTACAAATTTCATTTCATACTAAGGTCTGGATTTGCTCCATTGAGCTCCGTGAACAGGTGGGAGGGGTTAACTCCTTTTGCAGATTGAAACGATTGGATCTGAGTTTACCGTGACGTATGTAATGCGCCTGAGTGTGTTGTTAGCATTAGCATTTAGCCTAGCCATCTCCTTTGCTGCTAACGGAGCCCGTGGGGAGTAGCGCCACAATCTTGACCAGCAATTACATTTGCTAAACATTCCTCTTGCTCCTGCTTCAATTTCTTGATAGAACCAGACCAGATTACTTTACTATTGCATTCTTCGCCACTGCCAAACAAACAAAAACCTGCCCGTTCGCCGCAAACTCTTGACGTCACCGGCACCGACCTACAACGCGCTCTCTGAGTAGCCGGTCGAAATACGACCGATTGTAATCGCTAACATGGGGACCAGACTCAGACGCTACATGCAGTGAAATTATGATTGAGCTGAGTGTACGGATGGCTATGGCCAGGCTATGTCTGAAGGGGTGTTTGAAAAATAATTTTCTGTCTATATCTATAAAAAGAATATCTTGTGTGTGTGTGTGTGTGTGTGTGTGTGTGTGTGTGTGTGTGTGTGTGTGTGTATATACACTTCAAATTGGACAAATGGCTGGAAAAGCAGTGACTCTGCTAAGCGTGTCTCATCAGTTGTTGTGAAAAGTGATTCATGAAAGTGGAAGCTTCCTGCCAAAGTTATTAAGATTACTGGCATTACTTTAGGTTTGTCTGATGGGCTGTCTGGTGCCAAGACTGAACTCAAGTCCAAAAGTCCCATCTTGAAAATAACAAGGTTAAGAATCTGTCTTTCGTAAGATATTGTAAATAAATGTTTATTGTTGACATTTCCTGTTTAACAGAAGAAAGTACAAAGACACTAAACCTAATGAGTGAAAAATAAATAATATAAAAAATGTGTCAACATGATATCTAAAATAATATATGATATATATATCATAGCCTCTGAAAATCCTTACCGTGTCACTGTAATTTTCCCCAATTTCCTGGATCTTTCGCTGCATATTGATTGATGGGTGTGATTCTGTAACTAAGTCTCTCTTGACTACATGTGTATTAGATTGAGGAGCTGGAGGCCGGCACTCCGGGCAGACTGAAGGTGACTGCGAAGTCCACTGAGACGGATGAGGTCATCGAGGGAGAGTACAACACAGTATGTCATGAAATCTACTTCCTGCAGTCTTGTGTCAGAATGAATAAAACAAGCTTTGGGCAGTTTTTAGGAAGTATTAGTGGCTCAACATAATGACTAAACAACATTTTCTAACTCATTCATAGCAGTGTTTATTCTTATTGCACAGCCACAAAACTCCTGCGTCTTCTGAGAGCAGACTCCAGCGCTAGTTGATTCAGAAGGCCTCAGTGGATGGATATCCTATGTTCACCACAGATTATAGCATAAAGGAATGATTACACAAGGCAATAGGCAGCATTTCTAAATGAAGCTTTGCAGTAAAGCTTAATACAAAAACTGTATGAGACGATATAATCATTTTGTATTTCCAAAGTGCTATGTCATATCAATTTTCTGTTCTCTGTAGGTGTTGATAGCTGTGGGTCGAGATGCATGCACTGACAAGATTGGCCTGGACAAGGCTGGGGTCAAAGTCAACCCTAAGTAAGTATCTTTACGGTGGAATGTGTTTTACATTGATAAGTGTCAGAAGTGGACAGCAAAGTCATGGTGACTCTGCATTATTCAGCTCTGCTAGATGCAGATGTGTAGAGGATGCAAGTTTTGGATTGTTCATTTTCTCAAGGATCTTTGTTTGTGTGAGTGATTGAAAAGGCCGGCGGGGTTATTGCACAAATTAAAAAACTTGGTCATGCTACAGTCCCATGACTATAGCAGTTGGTCGGTTCAACAGTCACAAGGTTAATTGTGTGGATGTCCGGGGTTAGTCTTTGACTGTGTTCCTGTCCCTGTGCTCTCACTATAACGGTGATCTGAAGCCATTTATATCCCCTGTTTTCTTTTTAGAAATGGGAAAATCCCAGTGAATGATGAGGAGCAGACCAACGTGCCACACATTTATGCCATCGGCGACATCTTGGAGGGCAAATGGGAGCTGACGCCTGTGGCCATCCAGGCTGGGAAACTGCTGGCACGCCGCTTGTTTGCGGGATCCACACTCAAGGTACCTTTTGCTCAAGTACATTTTATGAAGTATAGACTATTTGATAGGAATGGAAAATGTTTTAATCCGCTAGCTAAATTAAGTTAATGGGTAGAGCTCATGTGCAGAGTTGTGTACCTGCTGCATTGAAAATTTGTTTTGCAAACAAATCTCCAGTGAATCTCTAGTTGGCTCTATCAGCTTTCCAGGGAAAAGCAAATGGGGGGGGGACGTCAGCACTCGGATCATCTATGATCTGAATTGAGACAAATGTCTGTCATTATCAGGCAGGCAAATATTTAACCAGCTGTATCATGCTGATAACAACTCACAATTAATTCACAGAATAAACACCAATTTATTATATTGGCATGCATAGCTTGTCAAAGGGCTCTTTTCCAAACAATTGTGCTTTATGACATTTTTGGTTAAACCCAGTGCGACTATGTGAACGTGCCCACCACGGTCTTCACCCCATTGGAATACGGCAGCTGTGGTCTGGCAGAGGAGAAGGCCATCGAACTGTACGGTCAGGACAATCTGGAGGTAAGGCTCTTTAACTGTATCACATCTTTAGACAAGGAACTATTTTTGGGTGGAGCAGGCTGAGAAGGGCTGGGACTGTCTTGTCTAGCCACATTTTGTCTGGTATGAGAAATGAATTCCCATTGACATTTCTTACCAATTTATCTAGTACTTATTGTTTTGAGAAATCTGCTGTTTTAAATTATTTGTGCCTGTTTTCTTGTGTGCAGACTTACCACAGTCTGTTCTGGCCTCTGGAGTTCACTGTGCCTGGACGGGATAACAATAGATGCTATGCCAAGATAATTTGCAATAAACTGGATAATGTAAGGTTTACTTTGGTTTAGATTTAGACTTTCACACTCTGCTCAACGTTATCACTGTCTTTGTTCGTAGGAACGAGTGATCGGTTTCCACTACTTGGGTCCGAATGCTGGAGAGGTGACCCAGGGCTTTGGAACAGCCATGAAATGCGGAGTCACAAAAGATCAGCTGGATGTCACTATTGGAATACACCCGACCTGCGCTGAGGTTAGTTTTCTTTGAGACTTTAGTAAAAACACACCACACACAAAATTAGTAGTGATTGTCTATTCACAATAGTTTTTCACAAAAGAACTTGGGGTTTTGTGTTCAATCCAATGTAATCCAATATATTTTACTAAGAAGACAAGATGAACCTTTCTAAATTATCAATATAATCCAGTATCACCACATGTTAGTCCAAATCTGTTCTTCTTTTTCAACATCTCAAGAGCAGGACAGGAAAATATAAAGTATTTTCATTCCCTAGTGATGGTTTGTCACTACATATTTCCACACAATTTGGAGCTGATGATTTGTAAATATATTGCATGTGTATAGTATATGTAATATGTATGGAGCTATTATTGTTTCAATAATATTTGTGTGTGCGTAACCAGATTTGTGTGTCCGTTAGGGATGTAAATCGGCGACCGGTTAACCGGTGGTTGACCGTCACAGCGTTAACCGGTCAAAGCTGTCGGTTAAAAAAGAGAAAAAGGGGAGAGGGGAGGTCTCTTAATAACGCTATTTTAAGCCCTATTTGCACGGTGTGACGAGCGGGTCTGTATCTAGCTGTGTGCGCCCATGTATTATAAACTCCGGGACGACTCTCACGCCGCACGAGCCACATATGCACACACGCACGCGCGCGCACACACACACACACACACACACACACTTTCCCCCTCTCCATACGTAACATCCACACGCATCATCTCTCCCCTCTGTTACCGTCAAAGCACACTGGCGCGGGTCAGAACTACATTGGAGCTTACATTTACATATACATACACACACACATACATACACACACACACATACACACATACCGGTCTGTCGCGCTCCTCTGTGTCACGGAGCCTAAAGAATTCGCGCAAATACGCAGCTCCAGTCAAACCACATGGACCATGTTTGTGTTTATGGTCCTCGGGATCAGCTCCACACACATCACTTGTATTTAAACTTTTGTGAAGACCTGTGAGACGCGGCTCGTCACTCGCTGCTCTGACCATGTGAACGAGCCGTCGTTTGCTGCTAGAAAGTTTTGGTATATTAACCCGCAGCACAGCAGAATGGGAAGATTAAAACAGCAGTTCTCTGTGCGCAAAGGTGCCGGAGCTGTTGCGGGTTTGGGCGCCGCTGTCTCAGCTCTGATCCAGTAGAACGCAGAGCTGCACTTATGAAAAGTACGGGCTCGAAATGGCTGTTATTTCAAAGAACGTGGACTATTTTAAACTACGCGGTTAACCGGTTTCAACCGGTTAATGAGGCTCGGTGGTCGGTCATGAAAATTCATAGTTTTTTACATCCCTAGTGTCCGTAAAAAGATTTGTGCGTGCGTAACCAGATTTGTGTGTGTGTAAAAGAAATATTTGTGCGTGTGTAAATAGATTTGTATGTACGTATCAAGATTTGTGTGTGTGTAAAGAAAAAAAAAAGTACGTTTTACACACAAGTTTTTTTTTTACACACAAATCTTTTGACGCAGTCCTGCCTTCGCAGATTCGCAAGTGTAACTTGGACTGTGTGCGTGCGTAAACAGATTTGTGTGTATGTAATTTGACATTTGTATCTGTAACAGAACAATCTGTGTGTAAATAACCGCGTTGTACAAAGAGAAGAACGAAAAAAGCCTAAGTGCTACGCACAGGCTCCGTTTTACACACTAATCTCTTTTTGACACACCTCTGCCGCCAAGCGTGTGTCAAAAAGATTCGTAAGTGTAATGTGGTTGTTCTAGCAGTACACCAGCAGATGGTGCTGTTGTAGCTGGTTATTACCTACACGCAAGCAAACCAGCTGAGTTTGTGGCACTAAAGTGTAGATAGAGAAAACCGAAGCCGGATTTAAGAAGAAGAAAAGTTCAGGATGACAAGGAACACTAAAATTCCCACAAAATCCGACCTTTATGAAAGCTGTAGGTTCTCTGTCAGCTGAGTTCTATGGGGAAAATTTCTGTGTAGCCAACGTGAATTTAGTCTGCAGTACGTGAGAATCCTTCAGCTCCAAGCTAGTAACACCTATCCAGTTATTATAATAGATCCATGTATCATACAGTGGTGTGAATGACAGGATTTTAAAAATAGGAAAAAAATATCATAAACAGCTGCGGTGGTATGTCTTGTCAAGGCAGTAGGTTTTGGTTTGCTTGCGTGTAGGTAATAACCAGCTACAACAGCACCATCTGCTGGTGTACTGCTAGAACAACCACATTACACTTACGAATCTTTTTGACACACGCTTGGCGGCAGAGGTGTGTCAAAAAGAGATTCGTGTGTAAAACGGAGCCTGTGCGTAGCACTTAGGCTTTTTTCGTTCTTCTCTTTGTACAACGCGGTTATTTACACACAGATTGTTCTGTAACAGATACAAATGTCAAATTACATACACACAAATCTGTTTACGCACGCACACAGTCCAAGTTACACTTGCGAATCTGCGAAGGCAGGACTGCGTCAAAAGATTTGTGTGTAAAAAAAAAACTTGTGTGTAAAACGTACTTTTTTTTTTCTTTACACACACACACAAATCTTGATACGTACATACAAATCTATTTACACACGCACAAATATTTCTTTTACACACACACAAATCTGGTTACGCACGCACAAATCTTTTTCAGACACACAAATCTGGTTACGCACACACAAATCTGGTTACGCACGCACAAATCTTTTTACGCACGCACAAATCTGTTTACGCACACACAAATATTATTGAAACAATAATAGCTCCATAAATATGAATCCAACTTTTTCTACTTGAATTATTGAATTTCTACTTGCATGAGAATAAGATTGACACATTTCAGCATCAGCTCATCGTAAAAATGTTTCACAGAAATTGCGTCCTTGCCTTCTCGCTCTTCTCTTGACCGTATAAAATACTTTTTAGATGGCCCTACGTTCATGTTCATTTACAAATGTACCCATAGCAGTGATGCTAATTAGTTGTTCTACTCTTCCTCTTAGATCTTCACCACCATGGAAGTGACCAAGAGCTCTGGTGGAGACATCACTCAAGCCGGCTGCTGAGGTTAAACCCTGCTAGTTTAGCTTGCTGCTCTTATGTTCCACCAAGTCGCTACCTCATCCAAATCACCACTCCAGCTCTGTTTTACACAACAGCTTTTCTCAGGGCAAACGGAGCACCATGGCCTTTGACTTAATGTCATGTGTTGGGCTCGGAGCTGGGAGGTCGACATAAGAGCTGCAGCTGAACGGCGGGGTTACTTCGCTCAAGTCTTTATGGCTTCACAAGATTGTTCTTTTCAGAGGAGCACCACTCGTGTGTGGGAGCTGTTTTTGACATTCTAGTTCGTAACCCAAAATACTGTGGTGAGCTAGGATTGATGTACCACTGAGAGGCACAACTGTGGCCTAAACGTCCAATCCCCAACTTAAATCACTTTTCTGCCCTGTTATACTTCTCCCATTTATATTTTAAAACATTTCTAGCTATAGGTACATGTTTCAAGACTTTACAGAGCTTTTCTGTAAAACATGTTTTGCAGTGTTGAAAGCAAATTATTTCAACGTATCCTGAATATTTCTGTGGCGGGTTTCAGCCTTAAATATGAAGTGACAGATTTGACCAAAGTCTTTGCAAACTCAGCAGATAACATATTTCAGAAGGTCAGTGTGTCGTTTCATTCAGGATCTGTTCTGATGTTGAAAGTATGTATTTTCAAACATTTTAACTGTTTACGCTGCTTGATATTAACTTTGTCAGTGCTTTATAAATATTTAAGCTGTATCTATGCTTTCAGAACAGTATTCTGACTGATTTGACAGAAAACTAGTCGGCATTAAATTATACTTGCTCATGTCAAATCACTGTAGACTTACTTTTGCTTGACTAATAAATAAGCTTTAATAAATAATGCATTTTGATGTGCTCTCTCAATATATTTTTTTGTCTTAGTCATCTGTCCTTGATCGAGAATCAATTGTGTTTAATTCTATTCATTAATGTCTGTTGCTTGGGATGGATCTCAATTACGCTACATCAAACTGGTCTATTTAAATGCACCATTTATGACATTCAGGCGGTGGGTTCGCGGCTGATGTGGAGCCTTTAGTGGCATCTGTTCATTTGCATTTGAAGCACCGGCACCTGCAATTGCTCTAATAACCTGGATTGTGTCTTTATTAGAGGCTTTGATGGCGCTTGTGCCTCTCCATCTCCAATGTTGAAAGAATATACGTGTTTCAACTTGGGAAGATGAACAGCCCAGAAGAGCAGGGTGAAGACTATAGTTTCTTCTCTTTCAAAGTTTATATTTTTCATTCTATTGATAAGAAATAGCCTTCATAGTTCAATCATCACAATGCTGACCATTGTCCATCTACCTTCCCTTTTAAGACCAGTCATGGTATATTCTAAGGAAAGTCACAAGTCTTCCCTATCTCATTGTGACACTTCCTACTGTCTGAAGAGGATGAAATCCATTCTTATGCAACCTTATGCAATTCTGAATTACAACTGCTGTAACGATGACTCAAAACTCCATGGTAAATCATTAACTCTTCCTGGCAGGTGATGTCCCCACAGCAACATGAGGCCATAATACGATGTAATCTAGTTACTGATATGCAATTGTCATTTTTACTAAATGCCTAATATTAGAACTCCAAAGACATTTCAAAAAACAATTGTCATTTTTAAAAGCCTCTCAAAATACAGCACTTAGCAGGGGGACACTTTCTTGCCCCTTATTCTTCCAGGTAAAGTGACCTGTGTGAAGTATTACTTTTAGGATTAGTGTTTAAGTTTAAACAATCCAGCTTTTGAGAATAAAAGTTAATCTCGGACATAATTTAAGTCTCTCATTAAGCGACTTGTGTTCCAGTCCAGCCTTCAGGTCTGGTCTACTTGAAGGTATATAGGAGGATTTTCTTCTTCTGGGTGGATCATGACCAGAGACATAATTCAATGTTTAAGTCGCTGTAAAGGGCCAATGGAGGCTGACATGAGAGTTTGGGTTTGTGAGTGGTTCCCTCGCTGCCATCAGTGTGTGTAGTGCAGGAATAGTTCCTTAAGAGAAATCTTCAAAAGACTGTCAAATCTATGGCATTATTACGAGTCTTATTAATTCATATTTTTGTTTATTATACATAAACACCGTTTGGATGCAGCCTCATCATGAAGCGCTGTAGTTTTGGCCTCTGCTGACTGAAATACTTGTTTCTAAGCACAGGACATGCCAAGCCCAGTTTACAATGTCATGTGGTTAAGGTGTGTGCATGTGTTGGCCTTCTGAGGGCAGTCTTGTGCAACAAAATACTCATCAGTTGATCCATGGTTAAATCCCCAACCGCGCACACACACACAGAGGCCTGATTGACATTATTGTGCTATTGCTTGAGTGTTGTAAAGCAGAAAATAACAAATTATGTTACCTAAGGACTCTGACTCCTAACTGATTGGGCAATTTTGTCTGAATGAGCTTTGTGTTGCTCAAAAATATTCTAACAATAAGGCTGTACATAATTAATGCTATTATATTAGCATGAGGCAATATCTATGACATAGGATGCACGGTAAAGTGAATCTACATAGTACTTAAGTTTTATATAGCACTTTTTACCACAGCTGTTCTGGGGTGGACTGTAAAGATCAAGTCTGCCAATCTGTGTGCCACCAATTATTTACACCTATAGTTCCCGAAGTCAATGTATTCAAAATGAAATCTGTATAGGATCATTTTATTTCCACTTAGTGCTGCATCTCAAATTTCAAATAATTATAAATATAATGAAAAATTTTCTCTGTAATTGTCTGTATATGTCATTGGGGCCATTCCAGTCCAGTCACACAAAGGCCTCAAAACCCTCTATCTGCCTGGTTTCCTCCGGGTGCTCCAGTTTTCCCCTCACCATCCAACAACAGCACAATAGTAATAAAATCCAGCAAAGGTCAAAGGTCCCCACAGCAGTACAAATAAAGGTTATCTGATCAAACACAGAAGCGCACATTGATCTCTGTCCACATTGCAGTAGCTCTGATTGGCTGTGCTGTGTGAGAATGCGCCCTGAACAGTGGGATGGACAGTTGCCCACCTCGGCCTTCAGACAGTAAACAGCGGCAGGCTTCACGCTGTCTTGTCATAAGGAGCAGAGTTTGATCAGCCCCGTGCCTCTAACGTGTCCTGACTTCTCTCCAGTCTCTCATCCCTGCAGGAATGTGGGCAGGTCTAAGGTCACAGCAGCTCAGTAAGCAGTCTTCCTTATTGCTCTAATTAGCTAAACTCAGGGTGTCCATCCAAATGTAGGGCTGTGGACCCCCCCTGGTCCTGACAGGTCAGATTGGAGGCAGCCTATCACATGTCGGCTTAGAGCAGTCATGTGCTCCCTGCTCCCTCATTGGCATGCTGTAACGGGACACTGTGGCCAGAGCTAAAGCTGCTTTCAGGGAAGGGCCTGTTCAGAAAAAATAATCAGTTATTTGTTCTTCTGAGCAGCACAGAGACATAAGTTCTGAATTTTGCCCTATTCTGCAGCGTGGAAGATTGAGTATGATAAAAGTCAAAACTTTGTTTTTTTTGTCATTGTAAAGAAAAAAAACATTGTGAGGGGCTCAGTTGGTCTTGGGTTCGATCACCCATGAGACCTTCCCACAGACTCCCACTGATGTCTGCTGTTGCCGTGCCATTGGGCAAGACACCTTGCCTGAAACCCCCTGCTGAAAGATCAAGGCTATCCTCACACTGACAGAGCAGCCATCCTCCTGTGGACTCACCACCTGCAGGATCCGTGAGGGCCCGAAAGACAAAGATTAAGATGAGGAGATCCTTTATTTGTCACAACATAAAATACAGAAATATTGAATAATATTTATAGTAGTTAGATAGTGACCAGTATCACCTCATTGGTCAAAATATTATGATAATAATGTGAGAAGATAATAGAAAGATTTGTGTGCTTTTTTGATTTTATATTTAACACACTTTGATGAGAATAACTTTGCTTTGTTCATAAAGACTCCAGATTTTATTTTTCTATCGGTTTCAGCAGGCGGTGTGCATTGCGAATGTCTCAATGAAAAGGTGTGCCACGGCTCAAAAAGCTTGGAGAACATTGGTGTAGCCAATGCATACAGATTTTATTGTGAAAAGCGGACTTTCTGCTCGCATCTTCCGGCAGAAGCCTCTCCGTCGGACTGTCGGTCAGGAGGAGTCAGGAGTCTTTGGTGATCCACAGGCTGCGCCCTGTGGAGAAAGGGTTAAACAGCTGCTGCTGCTGCAGCTGCGCTCTGGGCCGGACCCCCCTTTCCACAAACACTGATCTTTGCTGGCTCTTTTCTGTCAGTAATGCCGCTGCTGCCTCCTTCAGTACCCGGAGACACCGACCCTTATAGCGGGTAACGCAAGCAGACGCGCCTGGTCTCCTCCGTGCGTCCTCCGCGCTGGACATGCCAGGATGCCCGGGTCGGTGAGAGGCGATGGCCATCCACGAACGGGCTCCAGGCTCCTGTCCGTGATTAAGTAGACCGAAAGCAGCGCATGAAACAACGGGACCATCCTCCTCTCGCTCTGCCCGAAGACTCACCATGAGAAAGCCCAAAGTGGTCCGAGTCCTCTTTGCTCTGAGCCTGGGCTGCTTTGTCATGGTGATCGTCTATTATAACAGCAACCTCAAACCAGGTGAGTGCGAATCCACGCTTTATGCAACAGTTCATTCTAATCGAGCATATGTTTGTTTATTGCACTGAGAAGGAGATCAACAGACAGGGCAGTGGGGCCTACATCAAAATCACCTGGTTATTCACCATTGTGTCCTGCTGCCTCAAAACCTTTGTCTACTGCTCTTACACACATGCACTGCCACACACATGTGATCATACACCTTTATGGGAGAAAAAATCCAATACATTATATTCCCAGGTAGGTATTGTTACGCTGAATATAAACTATATTATTTTTTGTATTATGGTTTTGTTTCATTCACTGATGTCCCCATGATATTTCTCACAGATATCAGATTAGGAACTATTTCATCACTAAGCCCATTAGAGCCGTGTTTCCTGTCTGTGCTACGTGGAGAAGCTGCAGCTGGTTCGAAGGCATGGCTCAGTAAAGATCTGTTTCCAGCTCTGCCACATACAAAGGCCTCTTTCAGCGCCACTTACTGCCATATGATGGAGCAGAGGAATCTTAAATAGTATCCTCTGAAGGTCATGGAGCCAAGTTTTCCCAGCACAGTGGTATAAATATAATATGCATACCAAGGGAGGAGAGCGCAAATTTAGCTGATCCTTCCCTCTTTTACGTGCTCTTTCACTTTTACTGGGGACCACAGGTGTAATTAATAACAGTGTAGAGCATTCCTCAGGGAACAAAAGTGCTCTGATGGTCTGTCATTAAAAGTTATTAGCTGCTCGTCTGTGCACTGTCTGTATGCGCAAAACCTTTTTAAGTAAGGGCGCTTATAATACTGTACTAACCACAGCAACAACTCAAAGTGATATGTAAGGTTATAAAGCTTCTGATGGGCTCTCCAAAAGTTGTTCTCCTATAGACGACCCGCTCTTTGTGGTGTTTGAAATGTTGGCAGTAAGTTAGAGACCTATGTTGAGTTCTGCCCGCTCTATGTGCCACTGTTTCTGGTCTTTGCGTTTCCGTCCTCAATGTCTATAGTGAACCTTGTGATGTTGTTTGGTGTGCCTTTGTAATTGATTCAACGTCACTTGATTGGGCAAAATAATGTGAAAAGAAAAATGTGCTTGTTTGACTTTCCAAGTCTTAATAAAAGGCATTTGATGAGAATGAAAGGCTGCAGAGTTTCCTGTTGTATCAAAGGTGTGTGACTGCTCAAAAAGAGCCAAGGAACACTGCCCCGAACTAACCTAGTTTACTGACTCGCCACTTGACTCATGATTGTATGTCTTGAAGAACTAAGACATATAATCGTGCGGTGCGTTCTTGGGCTTTAACAATAAATCAATGAATTGCTACTATTGATATTTTACCAATAGATGAATCAGTAACTACTCCAACACACATATTTATTGTAGTAAATTATTTATAATACATTCATCAAACCTAGCCTAAACTGTACATGAGTGGGATGCACTTGACTGACAGTGACAACTACAGAAAACATGTGGGAAGAGTGAACAGTCATTTGGAAAATGTGTCATTTGTGAGGGTGGTGCTCTGTTTACAGAATATTGTAACTCCTCATCATTCTTGTGCACAGAGGTTACCATGAGTCATCCCCTGCACCATCAACACGGCCTCTTAAATCACCCCCCGGGGCAAGAGCCTCTGGCTGAGATATAAGTGAACCTAAAACTCTCCTTATCTGGAATACCAGCGACTACAGCACTAAACTGTGGGGTTCCATGACTCATGAAGCCTGGAAACTTCCAGTGGTTTCCCATATGCATCCACTTTAGCTGACATCCACATTTGGTCCTGTGCCATCTGTGCTGAAGGTTACACTGTTGTTGAATCTATAGATTTCACAGTAAAACCAAGCAGTGGAGACAGGGGCTGTAACTCTTCTTTCTTTTACCAACAAATTGTCATGAAGTCTCTTGACAGTTATTGTTCAGGCTCAATCTTGGTACTGATGTGTATTGTAATATTGAGTGACACTGATTGTGGGGTTGAAGATGAGCATTTGTTCTTTCTCCTTAAACTTACTGTTTTTGAGAAAGATCTGAGCCTCGGTCTTTATCTTTCTGCTTTCACAATGTTTGTTTTCACAATTACTATAGTGAAGTAAGTGTTAGGGTTAGGGTCCTGCCTACGTTAAGTGTTTATCAAATTTCAAAAAGAAAAAAGAAAAAACATGAAAAGATCAAGATTTATCATTAGGAGAACAAAGATCTTGATCCTTTCTATTTCAAGATTGCCCAGACGTATTCATTTTATTTAACCAGGCTTGTCCTGCTAAGGTTCAGAATCTCTGAACTCCTGAGGGGGACAAAAGATACTTCCAAACACTAGTGGTAAGCTACTGCCACATCTGCCCTGGGACAAACTGAGTGAAGTTGAGCTAATAAACCACACCGGTGTTGCCACTGTTAGATATATACAAGACAATGTGCCCGAGGTGTCTTGCCTAAGGACAGTGATGATCTAGGGACGTTAAAGAACATTTATGGGCTTTCCTCACCCCACCGTTTATGGACCAATTGCTCCTATGTTTGTTTTATTGAAATGTCTTTGTTCTCTGATCTCTGATTTGTTGTTGATGAATCAACAACTTTGTAAAGCCCTCAGAGACGACATGACGGCTGTTGTGATTTAGGGCAAGATTAAAAAAAAAAAATGTAATTGAAATAAGGACACAACAACATCTTGTACTTCAGCGCCACAGTGGAACATGCTGTTTCCAGTGGAACTGCTGTTTCCAGTGGTGCAGATGTTCAAACATGTTTTTTTGTGTTAATACAAGATTTTTATGGCTTGAAGGTCAAAAGGGCCAGCCGCTGATTTGATTCAATTTCCTCTGTAGATGTGCCCTTCTCATACCTTTCCTGCCCAGGCTTGACTCAGGCCATGAACGTCATGAAGAATTACAGCTGAGGATGTCAAGTCTATTGTAACATCTGCAACACAGTGAGCTCGTCTGTTGTAGCCCCAGAGAAACCTGTGATAAGCAGACCCGGTCCAGAGCCGTGATGATGATGGTGATAGGTGCTGGCAGCTGGAGGGTCCCTGCTGTGGAGGCCAGCTGCACCTCATCACTGTGCATGACAACAGGTCTCACTTGGATCCTCCAGGGCATCTGCTGCAATAAGACATAGACGGCTTTTATGTTGATAATAGCTTATTAAAGTGTCATCTGAAGTGTTATCTAATTGTATCATAGTGTTGGTTACATGTTCAGGGGTAGATGGCGATAGTAAAACTGTTTTAACTGGAGTCAGGCTGTTCTGAATGTGTAAAATGAGGTATGACATGTCCATATTGGTTCACAAAAATATAGTGTGTGTTAGAGGTGCAACGGTTCATCACTGATCCGTGATCCGTTCGGTTCAACGTCTTCGGTTCGGTACAGACGTGATCCGCGGTTTGATTTATGAAAAAAAAGTTGTGCGCACGTTGTTCAGTCCACACACAGCGCCAGTCCCGGCGCCAGCTCAGTATAGAAGGGGGGGGCGGCTGAAAAACGTGGAGGGGCAATGACGTCACTTGTATGCATGCATATGAGAAAACGTATGCAACTTGTATGTAACTTCTTTTAAATATAAGCCACATAGATAAAACGTGATAACAAGTTACAATAATGTGTTGTAATTAACACAACAAATAAAACACTTACAATAGCTGCGTTTCCATTGAATAATGCGCAAAAACTTTTTCGATACATTTAAAAATTCGAAAAACCTGTAATTCGCAACAGCGGCCGTTTCCATTAAGACATATTCGAATAAGTTTACACTATTTTCGCGCGTTTATTCAATAGTTTCTAGTACGTCAACATGGCAACAGAAGTAAACCACACTTTGATTTACGTGAGATATATTAATGTCTTGACTTCTGCTGCAGCTCTCATCCTCTCTGACCCCGGGAGAAACTGTGGCTGCTTTGACAGCTCCGCGAACGCGCGTGGTCATGTACCGAGCGCGGACCATAGACGCGCGCACAGAACCATAGACACGGGTCTTGCCTGTCTCCCCCGTCTCTCCCCCGTCTCTCCCCCGTCTCTCCCCCGTCTCTCCCCCGTCTCTCCCCCGTCTCTCCCCCGTCTCCTCCCCGTCTCTCCCCCGTCTCCTCCCCGTCTCTTCCCCGTCTCCTCCCCGTCTCCTCCCCGTCTCTCCCCCATCTCTCCCCGTCTCTCTCTCCCTGTCTCCTCCCCGTCTCTCCCCCGTCTCTCCCCCATCTCTCCCCCGTCTCTCCCCCGTCTCTCCCCCATGCCTCACCCCCGTCTCTCCCCCGTCTCTCCCCTGTCTCCTCCCCGTCTCTCCCCCGTCTCTCCCCCATGCCTCACCCCCGTCTCTTCCCCGTCTCTCCCCCATGCCTCTCCCACGTATCTCCCAAGTCTCCACACGAAGCGCAGCCAAAACTCACTGAATAAAGCTCAGCTCGGCTTCCTCCGCTATATCGAAATAAGCGTTTCCATTGCCGTTTTGCGAAAAACTTAATTTCGATACGTCCAAAAAACCACCTATTTTAAGCGCATTAACTTTTTATCGAAAAACTGTGGTTTATTCGAAATTTGCGCGTTTCCATTAGACATTTTATGATGCGCAAATTCAAATTTCCAAATTTGATGCTCAATGGAAACGCAGCTAATAACACACGGCCATAAGGAATAATTCTTGCTTTAACGCAACGTTCATTCTAACCCGACCATTAAGAAACAGATGAAGACTCAGAAGTGATACACATGTAGCACAGAGCAACATCAAAACACTCCAAAGATCACACTCGCTGATTTAACGCGTAATCAATTGGTGACAAAGCAGTAACAAACATTGGTAACAAAAACAGTAGCATCAACAATATACGGATGATAAAATAACCAGCTCTTATCTTTAGTAGAGTTGCAGTCTCCTCTTTTCTGATGAGTGAAACTTGAACTGGCTTTTCAACTCCGAGGTCTTCTGGTAAACAAAGCTGTTGCTGCGAGTGCGATGGTGGCCTCGCCGCCCCGAACACCGCTGAACCCGGGTCAGAGGCTGTTGGCACCGGGGGAATGGCGGGAGAATCACTCTCCTCCATTTGCCTCGGCACCTGCTGCCATGGCCTCGGCAGGTGCTCTTCGGCTTCTCCGGTTCTCCTGTAGCTGCTGCCAGGCTGCGGGAACACTGCCGGTGTAGTGTTTGGCTTTTTCAGCCATGTACGAATGTCCATTTTTATCAGAAATGAAGAGCTAACCCTTAGCTGCTGGCTGGTTACAGGCAACTCCGTACGGCGGGAATATGCACTGATAAGGTCATCACTGCATATTCCCACCAATTGAGTGATGGGTAACATGGGTTCAACTATAATCTGAATTTTAATTTTCAAAACTGTTCATTAGAGTCAGTGGAGTTTCTTCTGAGTTTCTGGATTGTTTTGAATACACAAACTGTGAATAATATATATACACTTCTTTATTTAAAAAAATATATATATACATTTTGACTGAGGGGGCGGGACTGTCGGCGTGAGGGGGCAACGCCCCCTCACGCCCCCTCTTGACGCCGGGACTGCACAGCGCGGTCATTGCGAGCGGAGGAACGGAGATGCTTGAAAGCCCTGCGTCATTTAAATCCCCAGTATGAGAGCATTTTGGCTTCACTGTAACTACACTGATAATTAATATTCGACAAAACTGTCACGATGTGTAAGCACCGTGGCACAAGAAAGACATGAGTGAAAAAAGCGTCTCAACGACCACCTATTGTCGCGGCATTTAAGCAGCTCCTTTACGCACAGTCAGACCAGGCTAAAGTCAACTCTCCCGCGCATCACAGCTGCGCTCACGACTGACGCTTGGACGTCCCGCGGAATCTATACTAGATCCATGTGCGGAACCGCTCACTTCATCACCGCAGACTGGGAGATGAAAAGTCTGGCGCTGAAGACACGCCCCCTCTACGACAGTCACACTGTCACACAGCGCAGGTAGTGACACACATCACAGGTACTGACACAAGCAGCGGAGGAATGGAAGACAAAGGCCCAGTACTAATATCCCAGTCACAACTGATAATGCCAAAGATTTAATAAATGCAGTGAATGAGGCTGGGCCCAGAATGGACCCCCTCCTTGGGAGAATCAGGAAGGTGGTTTAATATATGGGGGTAAATATCCTCATAAAGGGCCTTCTTATGTTGCACTTTGTGTCGTTTTTCATTAATTATGTTAAATAGACATAATTGGATGGCTGGAATATGCCTTCCATCCATCCATCCATTTCCTTCCCCTTAATTCATTTCTAGGTCAGGGGGGGCAGTCAGAGCAGGTGCCGAGTCCACATGAGCCGTGTTTATTAAAAAGACAAAACTTTTTTTTTAGAAAAATGAACCGAAAAATGAACCGAACCGAGGCCTCTGAACCGAGGTACGAACCGAACCGTGATTTTTTCAAACCGTTGCACCCCTAGTGTGTGTATAGATGAATCTGAAGTTAAATGACATGTGATTATTTATTATTTATGATCTCAGAGACTACTTTGCCTTAGCAAGGCAGACGGCCATATAACATGGCAGAGATGGCCGCAATTACCCCGCAAGCCTTAGTTTGGACATGCCTGGTTCAGGCTTTTGTGTACTGGCTTATTAACGAGGTCAGGGTGATGCCTTGATAATGATCTAATTGCGAGCTCATCTCTGGGACGATATTTTGTTTAATTTCCTTTTATTGCATCTAGATACCCAGATACTATTTTATTTTTATTTTATTTATTTGTTTATTTGACAGGGACATTGCACAATAAATGTATTGTTCAGCCCGCATATAGCTACAAGCTGATTTTCATCCGTAGTCCCTGAGGCAGAGGCAACGTGACAACGTGACAGCAGGTTTACAGTGTGCAAAGAATTGATAAATAGAAAGAATGAATGGGCTAATTAAAATAAAGATAAAATACAATACCTCTAAATCACACAGACACAATTCAATACATACAAAATATACATCACACAATTATTTACATCTGACTAATGACTGCAGACTTGATTCTCTTTGAGCCAGTTTTTTAGGCTGAGTTTAAACTGTCCTAGTGAGCTACTCTCCCGCACAGACAGAGGTAGTGAGTTCCAGGCCACTGCTGCTTTGACAGAGAAACAGTTCTGACCAAATAAGGAGGACCTAAAGTTCACATAACAGTCTCCCCTGGATGTGGCTCTGGTGGATCTGGTTCTCACCTCCTCATACCTTTTCACAAATGTATTTAGTGGTGGGGGTGCCAAATTTTGGAAAATTTTATATATAAGACAGATATTTGCAAACTGGATAACACTCTCAAATGTAAATAATTTATATTTCTCAACAATTTTGCAATGATGATGTGACCTCGGTTTTTTATCTAAAATCTTTAGAGCTTGTTTGTATAAACTCAGAAGAGGTTGCCTTGCTGAGTCTGGAGCCAATGACCAGGATGTGCAACAATAAGTGAATTGTGAAAAAATCATTGAATGCATAAAAAGCTTTGCCGCATCTGGACTCATCTGGTGACGGATTCCCCTAAATTGAGACAAACTAAATACTACTGTATTCTCCTCCCACTGGTCAGAGTGAGTGACCAGGCTTCTGACGATGAGTATATGCATGTCTTGTTCCTCGTTGATGCATTGTGTCTAAGAACAGTGATAATTTGGGGCGTTTAAGGACATTTGTGCATTATCTATTATACATGTATTAACATTTATGGACATAAGTCATCCTGCTCCCTTTGGGCCAATCGTTCCTTTGTGTGATTATTGCATTTTCTTTGTTCAAAATGTTTGATTCTTTGATTTGTTGTTGGTAAATCCACAACAACCTTTTCTTACTGTCAGTACTCTATATTATATCTTCATAACTACACTAATTAGAGGAACATACAAACTCCTACTATCCAGGGGTATTTCCACTGAACGTCCTTGAAGTCTCGTCTAGTCTGTACTTTTTGTGAAGGCGTGTTCCCAGGGAAAACTACCACCAAATATAGCATTAATTTAGACCTCCATAAAAGCGAACTGTTTTACAGGCGTGTGAAGAAGGTTCTAAAACTACACACAACTCACACAAATGACAATTCTTTGCAGTAGGTTAAGATTAAGATTGTTGCAGCACAAGTTTTTGAACAGAAGGAATAAGAAGAACACAAGAGAAGAGATTATCATGTATAGCACACCTCTTTATCGCTTAATGAAGAAACGGTATATAAAAGTATAAACATATATGGTATAAACCTGTATATTCTGTATATTCTGGTGCAATGTCTACATCATACATGGAGGTTGGAGCAATAATCTTGCTGTAGTCCATAATTATGTGATTCCCTCTGGTCCTGGGTGCACTGTGCTGTGACTTCAGAAGACTTACTTCGACTTTGAAGTGTGTTTTGACTCTTTATTTGATCACATTCCTGTCTTTCCTGTGGTGAAAAGGTGGAAAACGTCCTCTGACCAGAAAGTTGGCGGTTGGAATCCCGTTTCTGACATAAGTGGCTTTAAAATGCCATACTTAGGCGCAATCTTTTGAGAATGAGTCTGGTGTATGCTTGAATAGTTGGTGGTGGTCGGAGGGGCAGATGGTGCATACTGGTTGCCTTCTTCAGTCAGTGTGCACCAGGGCAGCTGTGGCTACTGTAGTAGTCTATCACAACTGAATATTTCCACCTGAAGCTTCTTTGAGTGTCCAAAAAAGCGCTATATACAAAACCATGCGCTATTATTATTATTTTGTTATTATTATTTATCCGTTAGGAACTTCATTTGCAGGCGGGGCACCAGTGGGGACACATAAAAACACAGAAACAAAAGATACAAAATACAATAAAATGCTCTATATACATTGGTGAAAAAATGTGTCTCTTTGCAAGACACTTTACCAATCTTGTGTCTGAATGTGTGTGTGAATGGGTGATTAGTTCCTTGAGGTAGAAAATCTGACCAGGTACCATTCTTTGATGGTTCAAACAGCACATCATTAAACAATCAGTCAATCACTCCTACCCTTCCCACTCTTGACCTGGGTGGACACAGCATTTGCAGTGCTTAAAGTGCCAATGAATAGGTTGAAAGAAGATGAGCCAGTATGTTCGTGTCTTTCAATCTCGACAGAAGTACCATTGTTTTTTTTGTCGTTGGTTAGAGGACAGCACGAACAACTAGATTTACAAACAGAATGCAAGTGTATTATTACAGAGCAGGGGAGGCATGAGACCTCCAATCAGCAGCTCTCCACGGTGTGCTTGTAGCTTTGCTTCAGATAGGACAAACAACGGGGAAAAGTACTGGTTTTGCACATTGATAGAAACATTGATGAAGTTTAACTTTACCAAAAGTTGCTTAAGTGTTATGAAATTCAACATTCCCCCCTTGGACATACATTCACGTGTGACTCCATCGAGGTCGATTAACCAGCAACATAACATCAATAACTCAATACTTAAACTCGGTTACTTCACTTGGTATTCAAACTAACTAGAACTCGGAATACTTCCAAAAAACTCATAAAACTCATAAAAACATGTTTCAGATCTTTCATAAAACTTGTCCAAACAATCTTCAGAAAAATACCTAACTTAATCAGTCGATGGTGGTTCAGATATTGCTTTGGAAAACCAGTCTCTCCCCAATTCTCCGTGTTGGTTTCTTCAGGGCTGCATTTGTTGGTGTCAGCCTAAATTCTTCTGTGTATTCAGCGTCTTTATTCCAAATTTTGTAACCCAATTTTTCCAAATGACAGAAGACATGTTTTATTGTCGATGGTTTGGCTTAAAAAAAAAAAACAGAAAAAAAAAAGTCTTCTGGTCTTTAGATGTTTTAAGACATGGCCCGCATCCTTCCACCAGCCTGAAGAAGGATGTGCCAGTTGGGTTCGTGTCTTTCAATTCCTGACAGAAGACATGTTTTTATTGTCGATGCAGCACGAACAACAGATACAAACAGAATGCAAGTGTATTATACAGAGCGGAGGCATGGAGACCTCCAATCAGCAGCTGCCACGGTGTGCTTGTAGCTTGGCCTTCAGATAGACAAAACAAGGGAAAAGTACTGGCTTCTGCACATTGATAGATTGATGAGTTTAACTTTAACAAAAGTTGCTTAAAAGTGTTATGAAATCTCACAAGGTATTGAATTTGTAAACCCATTTGCATAATGGTGTCTGTGTGGGTTAATTCTGGCCACCCAGTGTAGTTTATAGTGATTATAGAT